GACGTCAGACGGTCAGACAGTGGACAGTCGGTCATCGGCGGTCGGTCTGGCGGTCGGTGGACGGTCGTCGGCGGCCATCGGACGGTCTGGGTAGCGAACGGCGGGCGAACGGCCAGCGTGTGGTCGTCAATCGAGTCGGCGTCGTCTGGCTTGTGGTCTGACGATCGGCGGACGGTCCTCGGACGTCGTGGGGTCCGTTGACAGTTCAGCGGATCCTCAATCAAGCTATTTGGAAGGGACGTACGGGAGCCTGGTGGCCCCCGTGGCTGGTGCTGCAACGTGGGCCTGGTGACCTCCTTGGCTGGTGCTCCTGAGAGTTGGCGGCCGTTCAGAAGGAGGGTCACTACGGACTACGTCATGGGCGGCGTCACGGAGGTTGGCTGGAGCGTTGGCCTGGTGGCAACACTGAGCGGCTCCAGTGGTTGGCTTCGGACACTCGGCGGGAGGGTCGCAGTGAAACACGGCGGGTGGACTCGCTGCAGCAAGGACCCGATGGCCCACGCGGCTGATTCCCGTGAATCCGCGAACGGTCGGAATGACTACCGTCAATCGTCGTCGTCAGAGGTCGGGCAGTCGACAGCCAGTCGTCGGCAGGGCCACGGGAGGCTCCAGAGATAAGATCACATCTCCTGTCCACACCCCAGCCTCCGGAGGCAAACGAATCCAGATAAAAGGCCATCCACACGAAAAAGCAGCTACGTGGGCAACTCACAAGCAGCGCTTCCGCACATCATGCAGCACTGCGCTGAAGCAGCAACGGTAGTTCAAACAGGTCACACGGTGATTTTCGGAACGGTGAGGTGTGGGAAATGCGTCAACGCAGAACGCAGCAACGTTCATACATTGGACAAACCTCTCTCTATACATATATATATATATGTGTGTATGAATGTGTGTGTTGCCCCTCCTACCCTCATCCCCTTCCTCCCGCCGCGCCCTCCTTCCGGACAGCATGGGGCGACGTGCAAAAGAAAAAAAAGGGATAGAGGAGAGGCAAGATGCACGAACAAGAGGGGCAACAAGAAAACGGCAGGATGCATGACGGAAAGGGAAGAGGGGGAGGAGCTTGGGATGATGGAGCATGGGGAAGGGGCACATGATAGGGGAGGAGCGGCCAGCGTTCTCGTTTGTATCCTCGTCCGTGTTCTCCTCCTGCTCATTCTCCCTCTCCTGTTCCTCCTCCTGCTCCTTCCCTTCCTCCTCCTCATCATGGTCATCGTTGTCCTCCTGCTCCTCTTCCTTATCCTCCTCAACACCACAATCGTCATCAACAACCTCATCATCCTCATACTCACCACCCCCACCATCGCCCTCATCCTCCTCCTCGTCTTCACCCTCCACCCCACCTTCCTGACCGCCATCATCATATCATTTCCATCGCCGCGGCCACCATCATCATATCATCCCCAGCGCCGCGACCGCCATCATCACCATCACCACCATCAGCATCACCGGGCACCCCATCGTCACCATCATCACCATCATCCAATTCCTGTCAACATCCCATGCCATCATGCTATGTTTATTCCGTGTGGTCATCAACATGCACATCCTAATCTTGGTCACCATCCAATTGCCATCGTCATCGTCATTGTTTGTCAGTCCCAATGGCGAGGTGATCCCGCACTCCGATAATATGATGGACTAGTCCATGTAACGCGTGGGAACAACATGCTGCCCGATGCCCAATGTTGTGGACGGTGCGACCCGGGGGTCTGGACGTAACGTGAGTCGTCGTGGTCACGGTCGCCATCGTCATGATCGTCATCGTCGTCATCGTCGTCCTCACCATCGCCATCGCCCTCTTCATACGCCAATTCCTGCTCACACGTTCCTAGACCTTGCTCATCCTGATCATGCGATTCCCTCATCGTCGACTCCCAGATCTCTCCGGGCTGTCGTCGTCCTCCTCCTCACCATCACCATCATAATCAGATTCCCCCACGTCATCCCCCCATCACCGATATCAGAGCATATCACATCATACCTCACATTATACCATACTATATCATAGCATACCGTATCATGTCATACCATATCCCACCCAACGTACAATCACAAATCAAATCATAACAAGTTATAGCAAGCTGGAAATGTCAGCATGATGATGAGATCATTATGAGTCACCACCACAATCACCACCACCATCATCATTTTGTTCTCGAGGCGGGCCCGGAGCAGCTGCTCTGTGGCCGCGCTGGCCAGAAGGCGGCGCTGCCGCGCCCTGTCCGAGCACCCCCTCCGCCGGGCACGATAGGTCACGAGTGCGCGGAGGATGGATGTCGTCCAAGGGTGGGGTCGGCCGTAGGCTGTCCAAGCCGGGGGCTGGCGCAGGACGTTGTGGCGGCCCAACACGTCACTAATGGGCGACCTTGCGCTCGTGCATGCTGGCCACGCAGTCCAGGCAAGCGTTGCACGGTGCACGCGTCGGGAGGGACAATCCAGATGTCATGCGCGGTAAGCCCGTGCTCCAGCGCCCCCGTGAGTGCGTCCGCGGGCCTCAACCGGGTGCCCAAGATCAGGTTCTGCGCCTCGAGCTCTGTAGCGGGGTCGCAACTCTTGGCGGCCTCGTACATTTGCCGTGCAAGCGCGCGGTGGCCCTACGTGGCCTCGGCCCGGCTGCAGCAGAGGGCGTGCGAACCCGCGGAGTCGAGCAGCGCGGTGCCGCAAAGGTTGCAGGGGGATGGCTCGGTTGGACCAGAGACGCCGACGAGCAACGTCGGAACGCTTCGACGAAATCCTGGTGGTCGAGGAGGGGCCCCTTGTACTTGTTCCAGCTCAAGACCCAGAGCCACTCGAGGTTGGTGTCGGAATGGCTGAGGTCCTCCAAGCGTTGTGGCGCCGTGTCGATGCCAACCTGCGCGTGGCGTTCGCGTAGCTTCAGGCGCGCGTGGGTGTCGAGGCGGGCCAGGATGGCCCTCTGGAGCTGGGCGCGTCCACGGGGCGCAACAGCCAGGTGCTCGCCCTCCTCGCCCTCGTCGAGGAGCACGATGCCGCTGCCCATGCAGTGGAGCAGGCCGTTCTGTTTGGGGGCGCCGTCACTGGCAGATGCGCCAGTGTCGAAAAGGTCAGCTCACCGTTCCTCACATTCGTCGGCCTCGTATGCAAGGAACTCCAGGAGGTCCGAGTTCGTGATCGAAGGGACGAGCCCGACCAGCGCAATCGCGGCCTCCTGCGCGGGCCTGTCGTAAACCCCCACGACCGCGGCCGCGACACACAGGCCGGCATGGGCGAGGTACTCGACCCATCATCAGCATCATCATCATCATCATCATCATCACCATCATCATCATCATCATCATCATCATCATCACCATCACCATCTGCATCATCATCATCATCATCATCATCATCATCATCATCATCATCATCATCATCATCATCATAATCATCATCATAATCAGCATCAGCATGATCATCAGCAACATCATCGTTATCACCATCATCATCATCATCAGCATCGTCATCATATGCATCAGCATAGTTATCACCATCGTCATCTCAAACTCATCATCATCATCATCAACATCAGCATCATCATCATCATCATGATCATGATCATCATCATCATCAGCATCATCATCATCATCAACAGCATCATTATCAGCATCATCAGCATCATTATCAGCGTCCTCATCATCAACACCAGCATCAACATCATCATCATCATCATCAGCAGCAGCAGCATCATCGTCATCATCAACCGCATCAGCATTATCATCAGCATCATCAGCATCATGGTCATCATCAGCATCATCAGCGTCATCATCATCATCGCCAGACATCGTCATCATCATCTTGATGTCCAGCTTCAGTGTCATCTTAATTGTCAACAACATGATAATCATCATCATCAGCATCACAATCACAATCACCATCAGCATCACCATCACCATCATCACCACCGCCACCATCACCATCACCATCACCATCACCATCACCATCACCATCACCATCAACACCACCACCACCATCAGCATCAGCATCAGCATCAACATCAGCATAATCATCTGCATCAGCATCAACGACGGCATCAGCATCATCAACATTATCCTCGTCCTCAGCATCATCCTCATCCTCATACCCATACTCCTCCTCCTCCTCCTCATCATCATCGTCAGCATCACCATAATCATCAATATCATCATCATTGGCAACACCGCCATCGCCACATACATCGTCGGCATCGGCATCGGCATCATTGCCGTCATCGTCACCGCCGTCGCCATCGCAACCATCACCAATATATAATCCATTCATTTTCCCGCCTGCGTCTCGCTTGCACAGGGCTGAAAGCGATGTGGCGGTGTGAGCGCCAATTCTGTGAGGGCTCGGCGGTTCAGGCCAGCCGTGGCAGACCGATGGAAGGCAGGCGAGTAAGGAGTAGGAGAAGGAGGAGGAGGAGGAGGAGGAGGAGGAAGAGGGGAAGGGAGAGGAAGGGGAGGGGGAGGAGGCACGAGGAATGGAGGGACTTTACAGTGTTGCCGCCAGAGAGGAGGTCAACGGCCTACCTTATCGGCCTTGGCGCTCGAACGAGCGACGAGGGCAGGGAACGCCCCGGAAGAAAGGAGGGGAGGAGAGCAGACAGGAGGAGGAAGAGGAGGAGGGAGGATGGAGGAGGGGGTATGAAGAGGAGGGAGGACGAGGAACGAGGGAGAAAGCAAAACGAGGATCGGAGGTGCGCGCAGCCGCGCACGCGCAGGCCTGTCGCGCCGGGCGTGCGGGCTCAGAGGCTGCTCGGAGGCCGTCTCCGCACGCCGCGGGAGGCCCTACACGAAGGGGCGGCGAGTGCGAGTGCTGCGCCTTCTTCAGGAGCAGGGATCAGAAGGACCAAAAGCCCCCCGATACAGAACATGGTCAAAAACCTTCAGTCGCGACATGTTCGCGACCAGAGGGGATCAGGGTCACCAGCTCGGAGAGGCGTCGCAGACATCCTCGCCTGGGACGGGCCCAGCTGGTAATACCGGTGCCGCCTGTCCTTGTCTAGATTCTTCGGATCCTCAGGCACTGCAGCAGCCGAGCATCCCACCGATGAGCTCCTGACCCAACCGGCGCGGGACGAGAGAGTAGAAGGAGGAGGAGGAGGAGGAGGAGGAGGAGGAGGAGGAGGAGGAGGAGGAGGAGGGGGAGGAGGAGGAGGAGGGGGAGGAGGAGGAGCAGAGGGAGGAGAAGGAGGAGGAGGAGGCGGAGGCACGAGTGTTGGATCCGTGCTGCCAGTTCCCATCCGTATGGTGAGGGTGCCCAGGACGGTGTAGATTTCACAGTCTTGAAGCAGCACCTGCTTTCCCTGGCCCGTCACAAGGAATCTTATAAAGCAAGAGTTTTGCGTATGGTGGCGACGGGAGCCTTGTGGCCAGCAGCGAGGCGCTTTGGCAGCGAAAGCCGCGGGGGCATCCGTATCGTCCCTCCTCCTGCCGACGGCTCCCCTGCTGCTCCCGATGCCCCTGCTGCTGCGGCTGCCTCCTCGTCTCTGGGCAACCCTAGGCCGCCGCAGGCTCCCGATGTTGATGACCCCGAGGCGGACCCTTTGGAGGAGGGAGACCCGCTCTCGGAGGGGGAGGGAGGCTTGGTTGAAGGAGAAGCCGACCAGGCCTTGCTCCACAGTGTCCCGCCCAATTTAGAAGCTTGGAGTTCTAAGTCGTGCCCCAGATGCCACGAAAGTGAAGAGACTCTTTTCCACCAAATCTGGGAGTGCCGTTGCAACTTCGAGCTGCCCGACGAGAATTTGCATTGGGATCTCCAGGGCGACGCGCTCGAGGGGGGCCAGGATGAACCGTGCTTCTGGCTCCATGGCCTCACGCCTCTGGCCTGGACCTTTAACATCCAGCACATGGATATCCAGGGAGTAGAAGAGCTGTCCCCCTCCCTGCAACGAGAAAAGCTGCGCCTCCCCCCTGAAGCCTACGTCGGAGGCGATTGGTCTGGAGGCCCTCATTCCGCTGACCCCAGGCTTCGGAGGTGCGGGTGGGGGGCAGCCATTTTCCTAGGAGGAGAGATTTTGATGGGCCAAGGGGCCCCTCCCCACTTACAAGCAGACAGTTCCTTTGTCAGAATTGTGGGCTTGCTATCGCATCGCCCAGCTGACGGAGGGTGACCTCATTCTTGTCGGTGACAATGGTTCTGTGGTCTGTGGGATTTATTCGGGCCCCCGCTTTCACCACGCTCAGGACCCCACGTTCTGGGACCTGTTCTGGTAAAGTGTGTAGGGCATCGTGTGAGTGCAGTCAAAATTAAGTCTCATGAGTCCGCTTCCGATGCTGTGCTAGTTTGCCTGAGCCGCTTCGAATTGGGGGCGGCTAATTTTGGTGCGGACAAGCTTGCAGAGGAAGGTGCCAGGGAGGCCCAGCTCCCCAACATGGCCATCACAGAAGTGCTTCGGGTCGATACTCTCAGAAGGAGAGTCCCGGAGCACATGTTGACGGTCTCCCACCACCTTGCCACGAACTCAGCCCAGATTTACGGTGCTAGCAGCACTGAGGACAGAAAGCGCGAGAGCAAGCGATGGAGGCTTGCCAAGCTAGATTTCCTCTCGGCGCTTTGCACCAGCAATTCCAATTGTTTGGTGGACGGTTCTGACAAAGCCCTCAGGTGCTCCAGATGCCTCACGGCCCCGTCGGGGGCAGCGGAGGACTGGCTCCACTCGGAGTGCCCAGGGCTCCCCGCGAGGATCCACCCGTCCCACAAGCGCCTTCAGAGGTTTCGGGGCGTCTTTGGGTGTCGTGGGTGTGGCGGCCATGCAGCTACCACGTTTATTCAGCTTTCTAAGCCCTGCCTTGAGAAGATCTCGGAGCATGGGGATATATACCTCAAATCACTGGAGGCGGGGAGACCCCCGAGGGATACGAAGGCCTGGCCCGAGCCTGAACCCCATCTGGAGCTCCCGCCGCCAGTTGCGTTTTTCTGATTTGGGGAGGGGGCCCTGTCGCGGCTCACTGACTGGGTGGATCGCAGCCCAGTCGGTGAGTGACAAATTCTGATGGGCCCCCTCCGAACGTATATAGAGGCTCCGCCATGTGCACACCGCCCTTTAGGTAGGCAAGAGGCAAGAGGAGGAGGCAGAGGAGGAGGAGGAGGAGGAGGAGGAGGCGTAAGGAGGAGGAGGAAGGAGGAAGGAGGAGTGGAAGAACGAGGAGGAAAAGGAGGAGGAGAGGAGGAGGAGGAGGAAGAGGAGGGGGAGGAAGAAGGAGGATGAGGAGGAGGATGAGGAGGAGGAGGAGGAGGAGGAGGAGGATACGACGCTGGCTGGCGGACGCCGCGCTCCCAGGTCAAGCCACGGGCGCCAGGCGTGCACAGGCGAAGGGGCAGCCCGAACAGCCACCCGAGGTGCCAAGAAAGACGGTGGCCCCCACCCGAGAGACAGGATCTCGGAGCCCCGCAGGCACCAAAAAGAGAGGACAGGGAAGCAAGAGAATGAAGGTCCGCGGGGAACACACCAGCAAGGGTGCTCCACTCTCGCGAACCTAATCCCCGTCCTCGAGTCGATATTGTGAAGATCAGCTCGCTAGGAGCCTGGCCCAAAACGTTACACTGCCGTAGGCCAACACTCATGGCCTCACGCTGCATCTTGGGTGCGGAGCGGGTGTCCCGCCCAAGGCACGCAACAAGGTCTGCCCATCGGTTGCCAACAGTATGGGCATGAGTCCCACGTTGACGGCCCCTGACGAGGACTACACTGATGCCAACTTCTAACCCCCCTAGGTTTTGAACTTTGCTCCAGCTGGCCTCCGAAAGATCAACATTCAGACGCCGAGGGGAGCAGCACCATTGAGGGCCGCCATTGAGACCGTCCAAGAGGCCTTTGAAGTCCGTACGGGCCACAACGGGAGGGAGGCACACCTGGAGGACCTGGAGGCACACCTGGAGGACCCGAGGAGATGACTGGACCGGGCCTGGCAGAGGCCCCGACACCAGGATGTCGATGCCCTGCCTCATTCCACGGAGCTTCGCGAAGCCCAAGCCCGCTCGGGCCGCCTCGGGCCAATACCGCATCCGTGAGCACGCGCCGTCGATGTACACGTGGCCAGAGATCCCCTGCGGGTTACCGTAATGTACCGTCCATCGATTGTCATTGATCCTCGGCGGTATGGCGGGGAAACAGCTGCGACTGACCAGCCCACGCGACCACAGCAAGGAATCTCGAGACATAGTGGGGAACCCTCTCTGCTCGAATGTGCGCATGAATTCGGTTCGTCTCGTGTCCAGGAAGGGGCACTGCCATACGATGTGGTAGATGTCACATTGTGCCTGTCCACAGTGCGGGCAGCATGAGTCCGATCTGTACCCGCAGCGGTGAAGACTGTCTGGCGTCCATAGGCCTTCAGCCACGAAAGCACGAAGAAGGCCGCCTTCTTTAAAATCTGGCTGCCACGCTCGCGGAGGCTGGCTGGGCCCTCGTGCATCATCGACTTCACCTGGATTCACGTACTGGTCATCTGTATCCTGCTCGCTGCTAGAGTCTGGATCAGGGACGGAAATAGGATCTAGGATCTTGGTGATCGGTTCCACCAAATAGCCGATTGGTTCCTTGAGACAGACGGGTTCCCCAGCCAGTTGCGGCCGTGATGCCCATCTCTCCCACAGCCTCCGAACTGCGGCCTCTCGGGCCAATACCCGTATCGTGGATGGGGCCTCGCGCCGAATATCCAAGAACGTAACCAAGTCAGTACACCATGCGAACCCACTGGAGGCCGTCCATCGGAGGTCCCTTAGAGCAAGAACAGTGGCCCCAGCGGGGCCCGCCACGTGCTTCCAGGGAGACTTGGCTTCAGACAGTAATTTGCGCGCCTGTGTGCACCACGCCGCCTGCAGCACGTGCGAGGGAGTGGCGGCGTCTTGGCTCAAAAGGGCCCACTGGAATAAAGGTGCTGCCAGAGAAAGAGGAGAAGGGGGAGAAGGAGGGGAGGGGGGAGGGGGAAGAGGAGGATGAGGAGGAGAAGGAATGAGGGGGGAGGAAGAGGGAGGAGGGAGGATTGGGAGGCGGATGGCGATTTTGGAAGCTTCTGGCCTGTTCGGGGGACTCCTCCGGGACCTCCCGGCCTGCAGAGGCCTCAAGCCTACGTATTTTGCTTTTCGGGCAAATCGCAATTTCCAGCATCTGAGGGCCGCTCCTGGTGCTCGGGACCGCCAGAAAAACAGCTCGCGATGAAACCGGGCGGGCCCTCGGGGAGCGAATCGACCCTCAAAGATTGCCCTCTTACCCGATCGAAAGGGGAGGAGAGCAGCAGCAGCAGCAGCAGCAGCAGCAGCAGCAACAACAGAGATCCGACGGCTCAATTTGCTCGAGGCATTGGCCCGCGGAGGTCTCGGCCCCCTCCCCAGGGCCGGCGCTTCGTCCCGAGTCACTCTCTGCCAGGCCTGGGGCCTGGGGTCGGCCTCCAGAGGGCCGTGTTGACCCCTGGGGCGGGGCGCAGGGCGGGGAGGTAGGCGCTGCAGCGTGCTCCTGCCCGACTAGGGTGGGGCAGCAGAAGCCAGTGAGCCCCTGATCGATGCACCCCTTGTTGTTCTCGCACTTGGCGGCCTTTGGAATGGACCGTGGCAGCCTCCTCCTCCACCTCCACCTCCTCGTCCTCCTCCTCCTCCTCCTCCCATTCCTCTTTCCTCCTCCTCTTCCTTCCTCCGTCTCCTCCTCCTCCGCCTCCTCCTCGTATTAGTAGGTGAATATTAATACCATGTCGTACTCTTCTTCTTAGCTTAGGTATTACTCATATCGCAAATTTTGGTAATACTATAATATGTTGTTTGGTCCTCTTCTTCTTAGTACGACGAGTATTATTATGACTAGAGTTCCGAGTCGTAAAACTAGTGTCTTAGTATTGATACGTTTATTCTTAGTATCGCATAGTTTTCTTCTTATTGTTCTTACCAGTAGTATTATTATTAGTACTATGAGTTTGCAGATTAGTCGTATCACTCTTGTTTCTACCATTATTATGGTAACCCTTCTTCTCACTATTAGTGTGTTTCTTCTTAGTATGCTTATTGACTTTCATATTATTCTTTTCCTTATCATGAGTATTCCTCCTCCTCCTCTTCCTCCTCCATTCTTTTTAATTATACATAACTGCTCCCTGCCGCACCCCGAGGCCAATTTTTAGGGCGGGGCGGGGTGCGGCAGGGAGCAGCTATGACCCTGAAGCATAAGAGTTGGCAACAGCTTCGCAAATGGAAAGCAGGTCGTTGTCAACATGTGGTTCTCGCATTAGCGCTGCGCACATTCGTTCGAACAACCTTACAATAGTTTCACGGATTGAGGGCGGGTGGTTTTCGAAATGTGGCTCTCGCCTTAGAGCTGAGGAAAAACAAGCCCTTCGGATTGGATCTGTCCCCTGCTCTCGGCTTTAAGCCCGTTATATACCCTTTTCCCCCGCCCTTTCTCCCTCTTATCTCTCTCCCATTGCTGCCGGCTCGGTTCGAGCCGGCTTGAGGCGATTTGGTTCCTGGTAGCAGGACTGGAAAAGGGGCCGCATCCTCTCCTCGAGCCCTGCGGGCTCCGCCGCCGACCCCCGCTGCGGGATCGGGAGGTCAGAGGAGGCCCAACCCGGTTCCGCAGTGGTAGCGGAGCCCGCCGCCGCGCGGGCGCCATCGGCCGAGGGGCGAGATCTACGACGGTTCTCAGTGCAGTGCGAGTGCTGAAGGACGAGTACTACCTGGACGTGTACACGGAGTGCGACGAGGAGGGTGATGCGACCAGCATCGACCCCAGAGCGCTATCCGGCGATGGGCGGCGGCACGCTCTCGCCAGATGCGCTCCCTCCACGGCCGAGTGGAGGACGAGGAGTTTCATGGACGCAGCGCTCCTCGACGAGTTGGGTGACAGCGCCAGCGTGGACGAGCCGCGACCTCGAGGGCATACGCAGTTGGGACGGCAGCCCGTCGCGGTGGAGGAGATACAAGAAGGACGTGGCGCTGTGGATTGAAGGTATCAACCTGGACGTGAGTTGGAGCTGGGCGGCACGGATGGTGCGTTGCCTGACAGGCCCCGCCAAGACGCTCGGCGAGTCCATACCGATGGTGGAGCTGCGGCCCAAGCAGTGGACGTGGATCCCCGAGGAGGCTAGCACCGAGGCGGCCGCTGATGCGGCCGAGAGCGGGGATCACGACGAAGAAGAAGAGCGAGACCACTGGCAGGAGCCCGACCCGATGGCGGGCATCAATCGCTTGATGGAGGTGCTGGCGACGATGGGAGTTGACGAGCCGACGCGCAGGGGCCAAGTGATGAACTACTTCTACAAGCAGTTGCATAGGAGGGCCGGCGAGGATCTGAACTCGTGGATGATCAGGTTCGGGGAGGCTCGCAGCCAGTTGGATGAGGAAGACGTGGCCCTACCGGCGAGAACGGCGGGCTGGTGGCTGATCGAGAAGACCGGGCTGAGCGAGACGCAGAAGAGCATGCTGATGACCTCGACCGGCGGAAGCATGGAGATTCGCGAGGTGGTCCCAGCCATGATGCGGGTGTTTCCCAACCTGCACGTCACGGAGCGAAGGCCCCTCGCGTTCGACCGCAGCAGGAGACCGATCACCTTCAACCGCCCAGGGACGCAGCTCTTGAAGAAGAAGGTGATTCGGAAGTTCCGAGAGGCACACGTGACGGAGGACCTTGATGGGATCAGCCAGTTAGACGAGGGTGAACTCGAGGCGCTGAATGCGGAGCTTGGGAGCTTCGACGGAGACGCCGACGACGAGACGGTCGACGAGGCCCTGGCGACGGAGCAGGACCACGACATAGAGGGCATCCTCGCCGCCGAGCTGGAGGCGCTCTCGACGGTGCTTGAGGAGGCGGAGAACGACCCAGAGCTGGCCCAGGAGCTCGGGAACTTAGAGAGCGGCGTTGAGTCAATGATGGAGGGCCTCATCACGGTGCGTGAGAGCAAGAAGCGCGTGAAGGAGCTTCGGAAGGACCGCAAGTTTGGCGGCAAGGGCGGTGGCAGAGGTTCAGGCTCAAGCTCGAGCAGCGGCAAAAAGTTCACGTCGAGCTTCGGCAAGAGCAGTCCCGACAAGAAGAACTCGGACTGCCACACCTGCGGCGAGAAGGGGCACTGGGCTGGTGATGCTTGCTGCCCAAAGCTCAAGGAGTGGAAGGCTGAGCAGGCCAAGAAGAAGCTGCAGCAGCGGTTCAAGCCGAAGGACGCGATGGTGGTGGACCTGCTGCAGACGCCGGAGATTCGGTTGGACGCACAGATGATAGAGATTCAGAAGGACGTGTTCGAGGTGCTGATGACCAGCAATTGCGAGCAAGAGCAGGATGAGACGCCTGTGTTCGGGGTGACGGCAAAGGAGACGGACGAAAAGCGCAGTCACCTGGACTACCCGCCCTTCTGCCCGGACTGCGTCTACGAAGGAGACGACCGCGATGTCCGGTGCTCGATGTGTGGGCGGGACTACACGGAGATTTACGAGGGCGCCGGCCAGCAGGCAGCAGAGGACGATGTCTTGGCGAGCACGACTCGTTCGTATGAAGTCCTGATGGCGACGCAAGTCCTTGGCATGGGGAGTGGTGCCCCCTCTTCTTCCGTTGGCGGAGGGCCTGCAGATGGGCCAGTTCCTGGGATGGGGAGTGATGCCCCCTCTTCTTCCGTCGACCATAGCGCAGGGTCGGCGGATGGCCCAGGTCTTGGTGCTGGGCTGCGCTCCCATTCTTCTGCAGGTCCAATGCCCTCGGATGGGTCAAGGGACGAGCGAGCCATTCAGGAGGTGTTGCTCTCGTCAGCGTCCATCGGGGGTCACGGAGACGACGGCACGCTCGACTCAGCCTGCAACAGCACGGTGTCGGGCGACTCGTACGCCAACAGGCTCGAGGATCGGTGCAGGGAGCTGGGCATCGAGAACTACATCAAGAAGGAGCCGCAGCTCGCGATCTTCCGCTTCGGGAACGGCCAGAAGCAGATCTCCAAGGAACGCTGGACGGTGCCGGTGTCGGTCTTCGGCGTGGACGCATACCTTACCTTCTCGGTCATTGAGAACTCGGTGCTGCAGTTGCTCATCTGGAAGGACGCTCTACGTGGCATGGGCGCCGATATCAACTTCGCGGAAGATTCGTTCAAGTCGGACCGGCTCGGCATCACGCCGAAGCGGCTGAACGAGACCGACGGTGGGCACTACTCGATGCCGATCTTTCCGCGTGGGAGCTGGAAGCCCCCCTCGGGGATCCCGACGGCGGAGGCGGTCTTCCGCGTCAAGTCCAAGGTGCGTGAAGCGCTGATGACGGTGAAGTCTGAGTTGGCTGCCCGTGAGGCAGACCGACGGGCCGCCGAAGTTGGGGACGTGGTACCTGTGCCCGAAGATGAGGACGACTGGAACATGCCCAACGGAGAGGTCGATGTCTCCGGCCTTGAGATGTGGGAGCGTCAGGACTACAACGCGAGGGCGCTCAAGTCCTCGAACCGCGACGGGCCGAACTGGAAGTTGGTGAGGGCCCGAGAGACGTTCTGCATGGATACGGGCGATATCATTGAGGACTTGCGGTGGATCGAGGGGCTATCCAACGAGGAGATGTTCGAACAGCTCGACCCGCCGAGGAACACAATCACTCGGTTCTATTGGGAGCCGGAACCTGAGAGGCCAAGGCCGACCGCGTCCGAAGGCCGGCCGCTACTCTGTGATCGAGATCAGCTCCTACGAGTCCCCCGGGATGTGCTGGAGGACATGGCGACGGTGCTGGAGATTCCGCGGGCGGAGCATTTGAGCGTCAAGGTGCTGATTGACCGACTGATGGAGTACGGCGCGACGCAGAGGAGGAGGACCCCTCAGGAGGAAGGCGAGGCGCTCGTGAGCGTGGGTGTGTCGCCTGGAGCCTCAGGCTCCGCCGGGCCAGCGGGTAGCTCGGCCCCTGGGACACCGAGCTCGGCACTATCTCATGGGACCAGGAGGCGTATGCGGGTGCTTCCTTCTCTAGGAATCAAGAACAAGGCCGAGCTGGTGGACTACGTGCGCCATCACGAGGTACCGACGGACGGCAACCCGGAGCTGATGACGATGCCTGCGCTGAAGGACGCGGCCTACGCGCACGACGAGGTGCTATTCGTGCGGGCTCGCATGGGTCCGAGAGGCCCAGCGGTTGGCAGTGCGGGGGTTCGCCCGCCGCCTTTCGACCCTCGAGCTCGACCCGCTGCTCGGGGGCCTTCGGTATTATCGAGGTGGCTGTTCGGCCCGGCGATGCTAGGCATGGATGCGTATGCCGGTAAAGGTTACGAAGGAGGTGAACTTCACGGATCGGGTTGACCTGAATCCGAGGGTGGAGAAGATGAAGCACGGCATCAGGACCCTGGTCAAGGACCAGTTGTACTCTCTGCAGCGCGACCTTGCGACGGTGGACGTCAAGCTAGACGCCTACTTGAAGGAGTTTGGGCCCTCTTTCGGTTCATGGGAGGCCGAGTGTGAGGCGGCCATCAGTGAGAGGACCAAGGCGCAGCCGTGGATCACCGAGGTGTTCACGACCAAGGAGGCGGTGCGCAAGGAGGCGGCCAGGATGGGACTCCCGACGATGCGGAGTTACTCGCTGGAGTTCGGCGATGACCTCGG